CATTGTCAAACTGTATCTAAACTCAGGGTTTCTCCATCTACATGCTCAAATTCCAATGAAGGTTTTTAATCCTTCTTATAACTGCACTTCCACACATTTTAAATAAGAGTTGATAATTGGCAATGGGAGAAGTCAGGCCAATTTGTTCTCAACCCGACATGTACCTCATAAGCCTTTTTGACAGCAGAATAGTAGAGTGCTTCCACTTAACAAGTTCACATAGTGACTGAAAGCAGCATTACCACTCTATTAAAACGAACCCTTATACACTGGTTAAGAATGATGCAAAATTTCACAACCTCTCAATATGCTGATTACTTATATGAAGTACTGCAGGCTACTACTATTATAATCATATGAACTGTAGATCTTTAAAAACACCAGATTAAGCAATTTATGCAGTTCCTAGGACAATATGTATTTTAAATCTGTTCTTCAACCTTTTCTCAGCCCATTTTGACTAGATGGCCATATTCCTGAATTCACCTTCAAAGCAGCAACTAAATTAATGTCAGATAAAGCTTTTGAAAAGGGACAATTCACACTCAATGGACATGCACACACACAAAAATATTCCTACATTCAGTCCAATTTTCCTCTAGTATTCCATACACTTGTATCTTAATTATAGCAGAAGACTTGCAGGACCTGTACACATGAATACAGATTTTAGTCTGTTCACAAGCAGGAGATGCAGAGCCATTGAAAAAAAGATACCAGTAGAACTGAAAAAAAACAAACAAACCAAAACACCAAAGACAACAAAAAACCTCTCCCTTAACCAAATTATACAGGCAGCAAGTTTTAATATGTTGTGAGCAAGTTTTAATATATTGTAAGAGATGCAAATGAACTGCATATACAGCAGAACTTCAGCTCTGCTTTTGGTACCTAGTAGTCCACAGTACTAATACTAACCTTCCCATCATAGCTGAGAAAACCATATTTGTTTATAAACCATCCAAGTATTCTTACATAGTTCACCAAACTCAGCTACCTTTTCTGGCAAAAGACACATTACAGGATGCTTTCCAATGGATTTGTTCCATTTCCAGTGGCTAACAGCCAATTATTTACGACATGAACCTCAAGGGAAATGCCAGTTTCTCACTGGGTAAATAAACAGTGGATCTTCTGCAGAACATCAGTAACCCTGTAACTTTTCAAGTAACTGAAAAAAAAAATCCCGAGTTTTCAAACCATGCATCCTACTTGCTTTTGTTACACACTATACTGTGCCCTAGTACAATATAGATTTTTCTAATGCTCTACAGAGAGCTTTCCAAATCTTGAGGCATTTGACTTAGTTAAGCACTGAAAAATGTCAGTGTGTATGAGAGACGACAGGCTTCACATATATGGTTCCCACGGACTTCAGTTACATCGACAAGAACAGACAAGTATCTAAAACCTCATCAGTCTATTAGAAAATAAAGATTAAACAAGACAACTAAAGGCCCATTTCACAAACTAAGATCCCATTAGTTAAGCATCCCCTCAAAAGCACTCTGCTAACAAACTGTCCATATAGATTCTCTATATCCCAATCTATTCATGTACTACATTACAAAAAAAAAAAAAAAATCCTGCAGCAGAGGAAGTTTATTCAACCCTATTTTTGCACATGCCACAAAATTCAAAGAGATCAGTCTTCAGATTTTGAGTTTAATCCCCCAAATTAGCCCCTGCCATTAAGAGGTAATAATGTCCCCTTTACTGCCATCAACTCAAAAAGTTAACAGAAACTTCCAAATTTACTCAGTAGCTTGCCTTTGCTGCTGTTACTGCCTACTTTAGAAAAAGAACAAAATAAAACCATCACACATGCAAGTTTTTGTGTCCCATTACAGAGTATCTTACCCATTTACGTCCTCTGATGGAGTGAAACAACCTACTTCCACACCCAAAATGCAAGTCTTGCAAAGAATCGTTCCCGTGCCACAAATAACTCTGTAAATACGTCAACAATATGCTCTTGGAGGTTCAAGAACTTTCAGTATGACTTATTGATTCCAAGCAGCAACAAAAAAGACCCCAAAACGTTAAGGTTGCTAGCCTCACATTTTTACTTTGCAGGTTAAATACTGACATAGAAAGACATTATTATCGGAGTAATTTTCCCCGAATTACACAAACTTTATTTTTCAGAAGGGTGGAGAAAGCCACGGCGTAAGCATTCTAACTCTGTACTAGGGTAGAAAGTCTCCTCTGCTTGCGGCAAGAGAAAGGTAGAAGAGGCCGAGCGGCGACCGGAGTTGCACATTAAACAACAGAAGATGCCGAGCGGCGATGGGCGCCGTGTTCGACGGCCAAGTAACCGGACAGGGCCGAGCACCGCCCGCCACCGCGGGCCCGCTGGCCCCGTGGGCCGCGCGAGGGGCCCGGGCAGCGCCCGAGGCCTGCACGGGGCACCGCGGGCCCGCCCGTCGTTCCCGGGCATACACCCGGCGGGGCGGGACCCCCCCCGCCCGCCACCACCGAGAGCTGCGGGGCGCTCAGAGCCTCGGGCGGATAGCGCTGCGCCGGCCGGCCCAGCCATAAGGCAGGAGCCGCCAGGCCCGCACGCCCGTGGCCGCCGGTCCCGTCCCGTCGCAGGCGGGGGGCGCCAGCCCGGCCCAGCCTCGGTCCGCTCCCCGACCCCGGGGCCACCCCGGCCCCACTCCCGGCCGGGCCTCACCGAGAGCCGCCGCCGCCGCGCGTGTCCCGGATCGAGGCCGCGCGAGTGACCCGGATGTTCCCGCTCCCGCTGCTTTGTCTCCACTCCGGAGTTTCCCTCCCTCTCGCCTTGGCGCGGAGCGCGAAAGCGCTATTCTGTCCCTCGGCCCGATCCGTCTGTGACCCTATCGTCACGCTTTACGCACCCCGCGACACAGGACCCAGAGGCGCCCTCAGCAATGCCTGACTACGAAGCACCAGGAAAAACTCCACGCGGGGCTACCCTCGCGCCTCTCGCTCCCACCAGCTCCGACGGAAAGCGGGATCAATCCTTACCTCTGGCGCTTTGGGAGCCGCCTGCGACTTAAGAATGCCTGGTCCGTCGACGGGCGCGCGCAGGTCTGGCGGGCCGCACTCGCGCCGGTCCGAGCCCCGCCCCCCGGGCCCGCTTGGGGGCGGGGCCGCGGCTGCGCAGGGGCCTATCAGCGCGCGGGCAGCGGCACGGGGGGCGGCCTTCAGTTCGCCTCCATCCCGCGCTGCTCTCACCCACCTTTGAGACCTGGGTTTTGTTTCCCATTGCTTTGTTAGTTTGGTTTATTTTGGTTGGGCTTGGTTTCCTTTCCTTTCCTTTCCTGGGGGAGGGGTGTTGTTTGGGTTTCTAAGAACGCATTTTTAGTGGCAAATAGAGTAAGAATCACATTCTATTCTCATCTTGAACTTCTCTTTATTAATGAAACTGCTGAATTTTTAGTCCAGAAACCACTGCCTAGCTATACCTTGCGCTAGTCTGTGTCAATGTTAGTTGAACGATGTTCTGCGTAGTACTGAAGTTCAAAATGGTTTTCTTCAGAACTCTAGAATTGACTATTTCAATAAATAATCACCTAGATTCCAATCAGCCCCAATCAAAATATATGCTGAAGATCACTGTACCTAAGAAACCTTTCACCAGTAGCAAATACCCAGTGTAGACCAGGATAAACACATATTCCCTGTGTAACTTTCCACACAATTCCAGTGGCATTACGAAAAGCACCTGGCTTACAGGATCTCTCTCATGAAATTGTACCCATTACAGTCTCTAATAATGTCACATACATATGGACTATGTGTATATGACTACCAGGCAAGATTTCAGCACACTGAAAGGTGAACAGCACCCTAAAAAGTGAATTTGCAGGATCACTTTAGTGCCAAATGAACCCGAGATGTTATAAAAGATCCAAACAGGTAGCTAATGACTTAGTAGTTTATGTCCGCTTTATAACCTGGTTTCTAGTTCAGGGTAGACACTTGTCCTTTTTGTGCTCTCATTTTCCCTACATGGTGAAAACACTTGCAGCAACAGGTATGTAGAATAGGAATTTGAGCTGAAAGTCATGCTGGCTGACTCTAAAATACCAGTACTTTTAGTAGGACAGTCTGATGAAAATACAGATGCACACACTGATTACTTAATTACTGTAATTGCTGTACTTGATTTCTACAGCAGTGTTTGTTCTTAGCACTTATTTTAGTAAAATTTAAATGCAATTAAATGCAGCAAATTAGTAAAATAATTTTACAGATGTTGCTGGATATACAAGGAAATAATAGAATGTGCTTTGCACTTAAAACTGACTAAACTGTTAAGGTGAAATTCACTTCAAATGTAATTATAGAGCCTTTAGGAATTTAAAAATCATGGGTCTTAGCTTCTCAAATTCTTACTAGCAGTTCGGAAAATAAGAGCTGTCCAGTGGTCTTCTCAATCCTAATACTCAATAATAAACTTTTCTATAGTTGTAGAGGACACAGCTGTCAAATTTCCTGGATAATTTCAACAACCTGTACTTTGCACTTAAATATTTTACTTCCTTCAGCCATTTCTAACCTTGAAAGTTATTATATGATTGCCTTATTAGAAAGCATCAATTTCCATTAGCTTAGTTTTTCAAACAAAGGAAGCACTTATATTAAATAGCAAAGATGTGGATTCTAGAATCTCGGATGTTAGGGAGAGTAATTTTTGAGTTGTGCGAAATAAAAGGTAAGCAAAGTGATTACTTAAAACTTTTTCATGTGATTACATATCCATAAAAGAGACAACTATTTCCTCCTACAATAATCAGTACGTCACAGCAACTGCAGAGGAAAGTAATTTCCCAACTGGTATATGTCTGAATAGACCTAACTTTTTTTTGTGACAAAGTCTTTGGGGCAGCAATAAAGGATACTTCTCCTTTACAAAGAAGAAAGTGTTAATGCTTTGAATCACTGCACAAATATGCAATTGCATTTTACATCTGAAGTGCTAAACTAGGAATTATCACAGGATAAGAAAAGACAGATGTAAGACATCACACTTTAAAAGGGAAAAAACAGGTTTATTCCATGCAGTTTACAATACACTAGTGTTATGAAAAGGAAGTTAAAAAAATACCCATACGCATTTCATTTGTTTGTTGTGAAAGTGATGGTTAACTGTAACCATCTTCAAATTATTTGGGAAGCCCTAGCAGATTTTTTTCCAGGGAAATTTCCCTGAATTTAGTTTCTTGTCTGTGTCTGTGCTATGAGTTTTGGTTAATGCAAATGCATTAAAACCAAATCATAACTCAAAATTTGCTGCAGTAAGAACACTTCAGATATAATGAATTGGCACAAAAATAAAGTGTTATTGCTAATCCACTATCCAGGAAATAACATGTTGCAAGTATGGCAACTTGGGTATAAGCACAAACAGCTGATGCACAACTAATTTTGAGACCGGTGTTTTGGAGGAAAAGGTTAAAAAAAAGAACATTTGTTGAATTGGGTAGATGATCCTAAAGAGTGCATAGGAAGTCGATTTCTCATACCTAAGTTGAGGTAAGGATAAGGGCAGAAGCAGGTGGAAAAAGCTGCCATTTGATACTCCTTCAGTTTGGTGATCTTGTTTCAGTTCCAGTAGAGAGGCTGGTAATATTCCTTTTAAGAGTGCCTTAGCACTTGCTTCATTCTAGCAAGTACACATGAGCCAAGTTAATGTGAGTCAAGTTGTGCATAAGCTTTTGGAAAATCTTCAAAAGTAGCGAGAATCATGTACATAACAAACACTTCTACTCTTTACTCATTTCAGATGACGAGGCCTCAAAATCACAGCAGGTCTCAGGTCAAAATTTAGGCTCAGCTTTCTAAGGTGAGGAGAGCACTATCACAGAACCTCTTCCACTCACCCCCAAAGTAACAAAATAATTTTTAAAAGTTTCTCTCGTTATAGTACTTATTAAGACATAACATCATGAACAGAACCCTCTGATGCCTCCAGAAAGCTATGCTGGCAGCAGTATCTACTGACTGAACTTTTCAGAAGTTTATGCCTTGGTAGACATCACTAAAGTAAAGGTCAACTAAGTTGCAAAGAACTATTCTGTGACAATTTCCTGGGGCAGAATCTTCCCCAAAGCTTCTCTATTGCCAGTGCTGTTCATAAACATCGTTAGATTTCAGCAAAGGTAATAATAAAGTGGAGGGTAAGTGTACTGCCTTCTCTAGTGTGCCCTTATCCAATCTGGGTACTGAAAATCCAAGCCATATAGGAATACTTACATCTGCAATTGGTTCAGACATTCATAAAAATTATTTTAGAGTCCATGATTTGAAAGGAAAATGGACTAGTTGTTTTTTAGATATTGTATGTATCTGGAAAGTCAAATTAGCCCTGGAAAGCATTTTAGCCCTTAGCATTTCTGCTCTGAAAATGGAAAGAGTTCCTTCTGACAGTCATCCAGGCAAACTGGACAATGTGATCTTTTTAGCCCTTTAAAGCCACTGTTCATTAAGAAGCCTATAAAGACAGCTCCTGATTTTTGTGAAACAAAAGAAAACCTGCATGACACTGAGTTCAGAGAGCCTTCCACATTTCATGTTTTTTTTTAACTGAATATTCATACTATTTAAAGAATCAATAATTCCACAAAAAGCCCCACGTCGGAGCCCAAGATTGTCCTCAAAACTGGAGATAGCTGCAGTATAAATTACAATGAAGTAACAGGCATCACCCTTAGGCTAAAGTATTTCAAAACTGTTGTGTCAGGAAAGACACTTCTCCAATGTCCACTCAGGTTTTAACCCTACTCTCTTAAGATAACAGACACTATTAAAGGCATACCAAAATTTCATCTCTTTTCCAAAGCCCCGCAGTTCAAGGGCTGATTGAAAAATTTGAAAACTTGAAACTTTTGATGTGGTGAAAGAGAGAATAAAAATAGGAGAATGGCACTTTCTGATTTTATCACATCTTAAGGGAACAAATCCCCGGACTTCAGGCTTTGACTTCCATCTTCCCCAAAAAGCCCAGGACAACTTCACTCTTCTCCCAGTACTTCCCAAGGAATACATTCCAGTGTATCTGGGTAACTATAATCCAAATTCTATTTAATTCCACTGAACCAGATACTACTGCATTTTTGCACTCCAAGTTCATTTTTGTAATATTAATAAAGATTTGTAACTAATGTGTGTTAATTTGCTGGTGGGAGCTCTCTGCAGCTTAAACAGAGACTGACAACTCTCAACAACTTCAACAGACATTCACAGAATAGTGCTGTGCTACGAGAAGCACTTTTCTGATAACACTATCTCCCTACTCAGCAGACTTGTTCCCTTGGTTGCATGCCTGCAACCAAGTTATCTTTTGTTTAATCTGCCAGTTTTCATTTTTCTCCTGAAAAAATCCCAAAAACACCCCTCTCTCAGAAAAAGAGGAGATTGATTAAATTTTTGAATCTGCAGGAAATAGTCCTGTTTCTAATCAATTATAACTGTGCATTCACATTGCTAGAAATGAAGTTATACAGCTAGTGTCTAAAGAAAAGCTCAAAACAGTCAGATGGATTCACTGAGCTTCATTTTTTAAGAAATATCTTCTCCTAATGCTACAATGCAGGATGAAAGGAACTTCTATCATTACAAGAGTTCTAAGTTTGAAAAAAACACAGTACCATTTTCCAACTTTTATGAGTATATGATTGTGACAATGGAAACTTTAGTAAAGAATAAAAAAAAACTTCTAAACTCAATCAAGCCTTTGACACACAATTAAATTACTTTGGGATTAAAAACATGCAATTAACTGTAATCCATGGAAATCCCACAGTAAGCAGGACAAAATCCCAGGTAACCTTTGGGCTGGGAGCTGCTGAGTCAGTCTACGTTTGGATAGTTATTATGGACCATGTGACATTAGTGTCTTCGAGGCCTCAAAACTGCTTGTTCATTACAGAGAAGTTCTGATTCACTTGACGCTTAAAGAAGTCAAAAGCGTGTAATATAAAAATGCCATCTCCAATAAAGGAAAAAATAGCCTCTGAGAAAACCTAAGGCCAACAATAGGCTGTCTCCTAACTCAAAGCAAGAAATTGCTATAGCAAATTTGAACTTCTGTTTTTAAACAAGTTTTGCAAGAAGTTTGTCATATAAATGTCTTTAAGGAATTTCATCTCTTTCCCTTCCTGCTTTATTCCTTCTGCTATGGTCTTTTCAAGTTCAGGATTTAAAATTTTAACCTGGAATACTGTTCTGATTTAACGATAGTGGAGCTGTGTATGTCCACAGTTAAGTCCAAGGGGTTTGCAGTACAGCTTTGCAGTTCCAGCCTAATAGGGAACCCCCCTCAGCTCTGCACAGTCACAGGCAATTCTCAGGTAGGTACTCTCCAAATGGCAGAAGAAGAACAAAGGAATCCATTTTTAATTGTACATTACTTCCTTCTTGCAAGATCTTAACACATGAAGCAATGTTTGCAAAGCCTGGTAATGCAGATTGGACTCTAATGCAATTACCTGGTTACTGTCACTAACTTTATTTGAAACTGGAACAGTCAAACAAAACAAAACAAAACTTATTTAGGGATAAATTCTTAATGCCTTGAAAAAAGCTGAAGAGAGGATTTCCATCTATCTGAAAGCCTTGCATTATCATAAAAATTAAAGCAATAATGGCAATAGCAAGAACAGGAAAGTAGTTAGTTCAGGTGGCCTCAAACAGTGTATTTAAAATAATTTACAAACTACCTGCCTACTGAAGTTCTCTCTTTTCTTTCCTTCTTAAAATCTTCATGAGATATTGGAAACAAAGTGCAAGAAATTATTAAACACTCATTTCCCTAAAATTAGCTACAGCAGGGACACAATGTAAACTAAACTGCAGGTAATCTCAGCATAGAAGTAGGTTTTAAAACTGAAAATATTCCAGTGGGGAAAAACCTCCATACTTAGAAAAAACCACTCTTATATATACTCTAAATGTGTTCAGTTTGCTCTGTTTGTTACTCATGCTTTGCTGATGTCATTCAGGAAAATTTCATTTTATTAAATAGTCTGTCCTTTTTGGGTTTACTCAGAGAGGCAGCAGAAATGCTGATTCAGAAGGATCACTGTAAAACTGGTATTTTAGACATTAAAATCCACTTAGATCAATGCTGAATTACTCTGCAGAGCACATCGAGAAAACAACAAGTAACGTGGTTGGCTGCAACTGGCTGCAATGAGCCGGGGAGCTCAGAGATTTTGGTTTAGTCATACTGCTTAAAAACACAGTGACTACTGCAGCAGAGGAAATGTTTTAATATGCAATTAACACAGACAATTGTTATGCTTATTTTCAGATACACAAGATAATCCGTCACTATTTAGGGGACATCTCTGTGCTCAATTTAAGCTGATAAAATATGGGTACCTAAAAAAGTATAAAAGTATAAACATTTCCCCCTACACAATTACAGCTTTAGTAAATTAAATTCAGTTTTAATTTCTTAAAAAAAGACAAAAATTGTATGTGTTGTGGAGGGGCCAGCATCTTCCTGTGCAGACCACATCCAAGTCACAAAATGCATTACAAATCCTTTCAAGCATTAGGCACACGGACAAAACATTTAGCCCATTGCTTAATCTGTTTAGTAGAAATGTTTCTTACAAATTGTTTTGCCAAACTTTTATCAATGTCTAAGTCCTTTAAAAAATAAAATAATAATAAAAAAAAGTAGACCCTGGGTGTTTGAAAATCAGGCTTTTGTGTAAAGGATTACCTACAGTATATGCATGAATTCTGAAATTACTTAGAATGAAAACGGTAATGTCTTTAGAATTTAAAACCATCTTGTAGCTTTTTCAAACTCCCTTCCACTGGTTCCACGAGTCAATGAAGCCAAGTTTTATACTGTCCATTTCATTAAGTGTTTTAAAGATGTGCTGAAGATTTTGCTCAAAACATAGTGTGTGTCTTGTGTATTACCTTTATCAAGGACAAACTAACAAAGCTGCACCACATTCTGTTCAAACACTGTTCTTAACTGCATAGCTGAAACTGTATAGAAAGGTTGATTACAGGGATCCTGAATATCCAAAGTAATCAGGTTTTTCAACTGGATGAGTTTATGTTCACACTAAGGTTGATTTTAATCCGAGTCATAGAGACAGGGACTTAGGACTAGCCAGCTGTATTTCTGTAAAACCTTCAGCTCTAGAAAAATCTCTACTCTAATCCACACAGTTCAATGCTTATAAGCATTTTATAGAAGCACAAACACACATATGAGTACAAACACCTCCAAAGAAACAGAATGTTCAGTTGGTCATTTTAAGTGAATTTTGATTCCACTTTCAAGCATGTGACCAGGACTGGAGCGTAACTTTTGCAGGAGACTGTTTTAACAGAGGGAACATCAAGAATAACTCAGAGGAAGGCCATTTTCTCTGAGTTTAGTCTTCCCTTTGGGTATTAAAATAAGCTATATATCCAGTCAATATATACACCCTTCAGAGAAACCTTTTCTCTGTTGTGTAACTTACACATGCTAGTTTCAGTTGATCTCCTAGGCTGTTATTACATAATAGATTATGTCACAGAACCATAAGGAATGTGCAGTATAATACAGTCAACTGGGGCTGACACTGATTCTGAAACAACGTATGCCCAAACACTTGCGTTTCTGGGCTGTAACATTTGTGTGTGTGTGTGTGCGTGTGTGTGTAAGTGTGTGTGTGTGTAGCACCAATTACATTGTCCTTTTAAGGTTTACAATGATTAGTAGGAAAAGGTCTCCAAACTGATCAACATTGGGTCATCCAGCACCAGACATTAAGTGCTACATGTCTCCAAGGAAAATATGAGTGCATGGTCATTTCTTTTCAAATGACCAGTGTCAATAAGCCGACAAGAGAGCACAACCATGCACTACAACCAAAACTTAACACACACTCCCACACCATCTATTCCCATTATGTAATCTTGCAATGCTTCCAGAAGTTGACACCAGCTTATAGGCAAATATGGTTGAACCCAGATCAACAGAAAATTGTCTAAATCAGATTTTTTCTTTTGCAGCCAAGCCTCTTCAGTGTGACAATTCACTGCATCTTCGAATACAAGAAAAAAATTGTCACCGTTCAATACTGTCTTCACATCCTGGAACCTCGTTCTTGCAAAATCTGAAATAGACCAATAAAAATTCTATAAATGAAAATTAGCTCAATGTCATTCCTAAAGCATGGAGATCAAAGAGCAACACAATGACTACTTTAAATAACTGGTTATGTGTCAGGGACCTGGTTTGAGGAAATTCCTAGGATTTGTGCTTTAAAACTGAAAAAAACCAGATTGATATGTACAATGTCTACTATCAAATGCCATTAAAACAGGTGTAAAATACTGCTAGGAATTGAGTATTATTAATATAAATCATTAATACATTAATATGACTTAAGAGTTGGCAATTGCAAAAAGTAAGCCATTGCACCTCAACGTAGTTCAGAAGATCCTGAGGTCCTATGTGGTATATTAACCTGGGTACTTCACTAGGAACTGAATTTAATCTTAATTTTTCCTGTTCCAGAAACATGTCCTTAACTTTCTGAAGTTTCAGAAGCAAATTGTGTTCCATAAATTAGTACTGAAAACATGAACTAGCAAATCAAAATGTGCAGAAATGTCACACTGGATGCGCACTGATGCAAGTTTTTAAAGGTCAAGTACAACCTGGCAAGATTTAAAACAATAACATACAATTTACTTCCAGTTTTACTATTTTTTTTCCTCTTCTGTTTCAGTTTATTTTGCCTCCTCCAGAGAAGGAAAGGATCCAAGTCTTAGGATTGACTGTTCAAGCAACTATATTTTAATGTTGCTGTTCTAAACTGAATCACAACCAGCAATAATGAGGTAAACTGTTGGGCTGCACAGTACTCTAGAACTGTGTCAGCAGGCTGTAGAATCAATCATGACAAAAGGCAAACAAAGCATTAAACAAAGCTTCAAACGTACTGAGCATAAGTACTTAAGAATGTTAATCTGTAAGTCAAAGTCTTATGATACTTCATTTTCTTTTGCTTCTTGATAATTTTCTTAGTATTGGGAAGGGCTCTTTATTTCAAAAGCATTCAAAAGAAAGCAAAGGCACAATCCCTTGACAATGGCAGAGCTGCCCTCAAGATGGATTTTCCTTCTATTATGATCTTTGTGTAACCTGATGTTACAACAAACACTCAGTAGCACATTCCGGCCCACAGAATCTGCCAGCACACACAAACACTTCAATCTCTGTGCTTGTAGGGTAAAGGCTGGCAGCTGATTCACACAACAGTTTCAAGTATGGTTTTAAATTTTAAAATCTGAGATATTTGGTTTCCTTTTAATATTGTTAAAATGGCTATTATGTCTTTCATAGTGACTGAAGTCAAGCAAGGTCTCACCTGCTTTGCCCAAGTCCATGGGATTTTTTAAGGGCTGGAGTTCATGAAACACCCATTACCATTTGTGTAGCTCAGGGACAGTTCAGAGGCCATGTGGTGTTAGCTCAAACAATTAAAAATCCACTTTATCACTTGCTCACTGTACTCCCTCCTACACCTGGATCTAGCTTTGTGCATACAAAGCTCTTTTCCATTTCAAATTCAGCATTATTGTTTTGAAGTTATGAAGCCAGATGTCAGCACAACCACTTTGAAAAATTTCCAAAATACAGAAGGACGTTTTCCACTGGTCATTATCATGCTTTCAGGTACATTTCAGAAGCAAACACCTCTTATTTCATGAAGGTAATTCATGAATGTTACACTTGACTATGTGTACTAAGCAAAAAGCATTCATATGAAACTGTAGGAAAGAGATAAGTGAATTCTGTGGGGAAGAACCAGGCTCTGTAAATTACTCAGCAACTGCTTGTGTAATACCTGCCAAAGGGACTAGATAAACTTACGGAAGATAGTGCCACTGATACCAACTCATGGTATTACAATGTCATTGTAGCTTCCATAAAATGATCTGGATGAAGGCTTGTAGACAAAATTCACAGACTGAGTTTTAATGGAAGGTGGGGAAATATATCAGGAGCAGATATCATAAATACTTCATACTTAAACTCCTTCCCCAAGTATTTGCTGTTGGTCAGAGCAGAGAACAAAGTGCTGGAGTAGACACCCACAATAAAGGATAGAACAGTCTGATGCAGCAAATGGAATCAGTAAGTAAAATCATATCCAACAGAGACAAAAACATGGCTGAAACAAATACCTGTGCAACTAGAAAATAATACTGGATCTATTAATTTTGTTAATATTTACGATTTAATATGAAGTATTTAAGTTTGTTCATTCCTGGAAGAGTACTTGCACGATTAATAGCCTTAGAACTATTTTCTGTAGCATCAGGAACACATGCAGTAAGATAAAGCTGAGCCAGATCTGGACACTGAACTTTGCACACTTTACTGAACCAGTAATCCCAACATAAAGCAGAAAATTCGATTCCACCAGGCAATATTTTAACACACTTTTCTTGATGCTTGTTCTATAACCTTCATCTCTACTGAAAGAGTAACCATAGAATCATAAGAGTGGGTTCGGTTAGAAGGGATGCTAAAGATCATCTCATTCAAACCCTTGCCATGGGCAAGGACACCTTCCACTGTTCCAGCCTGCTCCAAGCCCTGTCCAACATGGCCTTGGACACTGCCAGTGATGGAGCAACCCCAGCTTCTCTGGACAACCTGTGCCAGATGTCTCATCACCTTAATGGTAAAGAATATGCTCATCATTATATCCAATCTAGAACTAGCCTCTTTCAGTTTAAAAACCTCACCCCTTGTCCTGTCACCATGAGCCCTGGTAATAGTCTTTTTTCATCTTTCTCATAAGGCTTTTTAAGCACTGGAAATGCAGTAACATTGGCCCTGGGGCTCTCTTGTCCAGGCCTAACAACCCCAACTGACTCAGCCTATCTTCACAGGAGAGGTGTTCTAGCCTGCAGGTCATTTTCGTGTCTCTCCTCCGGATCCACTCTCACAGGTCTTGTACTGGGAATCCCAGAGCTGGATGCAGCATTCCACGTGGGATTTCATGAGAAATACAGTTGAGGGGGAGAATCACTTCCCTCAACACTCCAGCCATGCATCTTTTGTTGCAGTCCTGGATAACTGGCTTTCTGCTCTTCAAGTACTGCTGGCTCAAATTCAGGTTTTCACCCAGCTGTATCCCCAAGTCTTCTGCAATGCTGCAGTAAATCCATCTATCACCCAGTCTGTACTGATGCTGGGAATTGTATCAACTCTAGTACAGATCTGCTGTATAGAGGATTTTCCTTATTTTCATATTTCTGTTTTATTTTCTCTATAGGTACACCATATCCAAAGCTACCTTAAAAATTCTAAACAATGCTGAATGAACTCTCATATTCTAGGGGCCTGAGTGTGATTGTTTCTTAGGCAAGCAGAACATGAAAACTATTTCTTCCCACTCAAAATAAAGCTGCTGCTGCTAGAAATGTGTTTTAAGGACTGTTTGCCTCCCAGACACCTTAAGAATATTACGTTAAATTCCAGCAAAGTGCCAGTTTACTTTGTTTCAATAAAGCTTCAGATTTGATTGATTCCTTTCAGCCATTCCTGAAGACCTGGCAAAAGCCTTTACACTACCCTAGCAGTAGCTTCTGTTAGCACCATTTCAGAAAATAACGTAGTTCTTTTTCAGCCACGTGCAGTGACTTCACAGAATCACAGCATATCCTGAGCTGGAAGAGACCCACAAGAATCATTAAGTGATGATCCTGGCCTAGCACAAGACAACCTCAAAAACCACACCATGTGGCTGACAGCATGGTCCAAACTTCAGACATAAGTGCTAAGGCTGCTTTACAGCTAAAAAGTTCAGGTGTATAGGTGAGAAGCTGAAGTTTAATCTCATGCAATGGTAAATATCTTCAATTTATACATACTCAAGTGACCACCCACACCATGCAACTGAACATTCAATGGTATGTTATCTTTTAGAAACTAGAGAGTGGAATAAATATGAGTAGTACTTAAAGACACATTAGGAAAAGTGCCTAAGTTGTTTTTTCAGATACAGCTTTTTTTGTGCTCTTCCACTTGTGACTTTTAATGTAACTTGATCTTCAGTCAGATGTCAAACTACAGCGGAAAGGATCCCTCCTCAAAGTTGTTTCCTGTGATAAATACAACTGCAGCACCAAGATGACATTATTTACTTATATTTGCCACATCTTTACTGAAAAAAATCCTTAAGTTTCGAAATTATCAGGTTAAGACCACCTTTGGACTAAGCTGCACTTCAATCAAGTTCGGAAAATTATTGCCAAATCAGACATTTACTGAAAATGTACACAGTAAGTTTGTATCACATGCCTCTACATGTGAAAACCTATCTGACAGAAAATATGGTGCACATAAAGTAAGAAAGAAATTAATGAATTTAAAGCAATTCTGGCCCTAGAATCTACATTAAGAACTTTCCTTCTCAGCAAAGCTTTAAAGGTACTACTCACAATACAGTTTATAAAAGCAACACTAATTATTCTGTCAAAGAAGCAATATCCAGAACACAAATTCTACCTTTGCCAACCATGCAACAACTATAATCACAAACACACACACACCACCAGGACTAGCTGAAGGACGGCACTAGTGGGGGTGGGAATTGGATGGGGCAGAAAAGAATCTGGTTAAAATCCTAGGGCAGCTAGTGCTCACCATGACATTTACACTTAATCTGAGTCATTCATATCGTAATCCGTTTCTTCATCCTCACTCTGAGTGTCATGCAGCATGCAGCACATATAGAAGAAGGAAGGGAAAAGAAGAGATTGCAAGTGAGTCAGAGCTGCAACAAAGCACATTCCACTTACACCTGAAGCGTGTGGCAATGACATTTATTTACTTTTACCTGGGACCTCCACTCTTTCTACAAAAAAGCATGACAGCTGACCATTTCAAAAAGGAATGTAACAGATTTCATGACAATTTCCTCTTCCAAATATCCTGAAGTCAGCAGATAGAAGCCAAAGGTCAGGTCCATAAAGTGGTTTGAAAGAGAATACTGCTTGTGGGAATACAGGTTATCTTTTGGTTGTGCCATGGCTACCAGTAAAAGCCAGTGGAACCATTTAAGACGGATTTCCTTTGTTTAGGTGTATTAGAAGGTTACACAGAAGTTGTCTACTAACTTATTATGTTATTAACTAAAAAAAGAAAATACAAGAAAAAGGTTCCTAAGAAGGAATGAAGGTGAAACATGATTAGATGGCTATCAGAAGATACCCTCTCCTGTTCTGAAAATCCAGGACTATTAACTAAAACTGAAGTACTCGTCAATGAAAAATACATAGTGGCAGGTATATGTTTTTTCTTTTTCTCTAACTCAATCTGCTGTAAAACTAATAGGAGGAGTTTCTTATAAGTCAGTCCCAGTACATGAACATATTATTCTGTACATAAAAGTGGATGCCAGAATTTCAATCATATGCACTTCATGAAGACCAGCTCAGCCGCTACCAAGGCTAGAGGATAATGCTTGCTAAGAGGGAACTATGGACACAACATCTCCCAAAGTCAAGACTCCTGAACACAGCTGTCAGAAACCTCTCCAGAAAAAAAATAAATTATTTTTCCTTTTTTTTTCCCAGTTACAACGTATACCTATATACAAAAATATTATATTTTAGAAACTTAATATACAAGAGAATTATTCTTCAAGTACTGCCTATTAATTGCTAGGAACAGCTTAACTCTTCCAGGACAAAAGGAGGGACCCTCCAATCAAAATTAACAGTAACTCCTCTTCATCACAATGGTCAAGCGATGCTCTGCTCTCTTCTCTCAAACAATGACCAAGCAGCACACTAATGAAGACAGCCTCTCTCAGCACTACTCCATTTACACAGTCGTAATGCAGTCTCAACTAGCTTTTGGTTTTTGTCTTTAACACTTATTTTTGACTCATATTTTCTATTACATTAAGCATGCAATGTAACTCTGGCAACTTCTAAAATTACCTGAAGATTTTTATGAGGCTCTAGAATTCCACATTTTATTTCAGGTAGATATCTCAGCCCTAAATTATTACCACGCACCTCTAACATGTCAACTTTCAAAGTCTTCCTCAAGCATCCTGGCAAAAGCAGACCTTAACTAGGGTTTTGAAAGAGTAAGACATAGCTTACCCAGTCTCACTATTTATCCCTAACTAGATTAATCCTTTACAACTCTTTGGAAGTTTTATCTCAACAGGGATGAACATAAATTACTCATTTCACTAGGAATCCAACATACAGCTTAGAGTATTTCTACATATTTCTATAGTTCAAATTATAAAAATTATTCCACATGTGTAGCTGCATAAGCATGCTACAAAGCATAGAAAGTAATGAGGTTTTATCTATTTGAGGCCTCAGTACCAAGACTCAGACCCATTCTTAGCATTATTTCAAAATCAATTTCTTTGAAGGTGATTTTTGAAAAAGCAAGCTTTGATGATTTAGCAATCGTTTTCAATCTACATAAGGGAAATCAAAAGCTTTTAAGACAACTACAGGTGTATCCAGTTTGTCTGTAGTCATCTCCTGATACAAATCAGCAACAGAATGATAAAAGCTGTTCACTATTCACGACACTGAACACACATTACAGAACTGTTCTGCCTTACGGTTAGTTGGCTGTGGTTTTACGTTTTCCTTTGTACAAATTCTGAAATACAACTGAGTGAAATACTAAGATACTGTGCCCATTACAATCTTTTCGTAAAGTTGGTTACAGAAAGTAAACTTGGTAGAACCCTAAAAACATTAACAAGTATCATTTTATAACATATTGCACGTGACTGTTTTACAGAGATAGTATCTTTCGAGTTCCATTCTCGACAGTAAGATTTCTTCAGCAGAAGTCAAGCAAGAAAAAGTTTTTAACTGAATCACTGTCATTCACATGTATCATAAACAAAACCTAGCTTCTCAGCTGTAAAGAGCAAGTATCTGCCAATACCTGAAAAAAACCAGATACTGAAAAAGTACAGAGTAATGTATTTAAATAATTCAGGCATGCATAACAAATGCATGCTGACTGTACCATTTACAGTCCCTCATACAATGGACAGGGAATATTATTAGCCCTGAACAAGGGGGAAAAAAGGACAATGAAATAATAGTCTAGAACAGAGGTAGATCTATCATGACTTGTGAAGCCCACGCAATTCAACACCATTTCTTTAGTCCAATGTCTAGTAACTCACCTTTGCTTTTTCACTGGGTTCACTGGTTGTGCCGTAAGGAGTGTTATGCAATTCCTTTGAGACAACACACAGAAATTCAGCCTGATCTTCATTGCCATAGTTATAAGAAGAACCAATACTGACCAGCTGAAAGATGAAATTTTAAAAAAAAGTCAATTGTATCTCCACATAAAAGAAATTCCATAAAGTCTTATGATTAGTACAAACATTCCTCACTCGTCAGACTGTAGGCTGTGCCTGAAGCATGATTCTCCACTTCAATGCAAATACGTTTTGATGCTGACAAATACATTGACAATATACACTCTGATGATAAGATACACACAGGGGTTTTTTTTAACAGTTAGAGAATTAATGATTCACTGTGAAAGAAAAGACTGTAGAGGCAGGCCAGTGAAGAAGTAGCCTGTTCCCTGTTTCTGTTATTTACTAGAAACCTTCCTATCCTCCAAAGTTAATTTTTAAAGTTTATATGTGGTATCTTAACGTGGCATGATTTAACATGTAAATGGCTGCATGCAGGAACCTCTTTAGCCTGAAGGGATACCCATCACTACTTACAGAACAATGGTATCTCTATTAAAACATATTTTGAATGAACAAACACAATATTTGCATCTGACTGGAAAACAAGACACGGTATGGCGGGACATCAAGATTAACATCTGAAATTCATACATACTGCTACAAGGAAGCTAATTAAGGAAGTGCTACAAGCAGAAGCCATGTATAATGAAATGTGACATATTTACAAGTTTCTACAGTCTCTACATTGAATGACAAATGACAATTTACTGAGAAAGAAGAATATACGCAACATTATTACTACTTCTTATGCAGCATGTTTATTAAATGGCAGAAATTGTCTTACCTTACACACAATACACTTACCTAATATGCTAGCAGCTTTACATGCTTGCCTGCCTTTCCAAGTCAGATTCAATTCAGATGTAGCTGGTTCATTTATTTTAAAGTTTTATTTCAAAAGCACAAGATAATATGTGATCTACAAGATAATGTCAGATCTACTGACACAAAGTCCTAAAAATAAAACTGTTGCACAGACACACTGTGTCAATTTGTCATTACCCAAACTATATTTAATCTATCTACCAAATCACCACATATATACAATAAGAGTGTCCTATTCCCCAATCTCTACTGTACCATTTCAGTGCTCTAGAAACAGCCACATAGGAAAGGCCTAACTTTTTTTGGGTAATGGCACTTAAAACACTGTAGTTATCTCTGTAAAGACAAATAGTGTACTACCATTAGTCAAGCAGAACACCAAAGAGAGCAAAAGATTTGTTAAAGCCTGAAAGATGAAGTCAAGATGAAATCCTGATGCAGAGTTTGCACTTAAGGGATAAAATTATTCCCCAACAAAAACTGAAGTTAGACCAAGGTTAAAAGCAGCTTCCATATAGCACTGTCAGAAGAAAACCAAGCTTCACTGTACTTTCTAAGGAGAGGAGAGAGATGTTCAGATGTTCCTGCACTGCAGCAAGACAGCCAAGCAAGCAGTTCCAGAGATGGACAGAGCTAATATCTACCAAGAGCAGCAGGCAGTGTGTCTATATAATGAATCAACTTGACTTCAGGCCTAGGCACTGTCAAAAATTTTTGGAGCCTGATGATATTACAGCATAAAAGGCTCAGCCTCCCATGAGCACCACTGCCCATCAAAATTCATCACTTTCAAATTATGTACTTTAACTACACTGAATGTGATAACCAGAAACTTTCCCTGTCTCATCCTCTTCTAACATCACTCTAGTTCTGCAAAATATATACATAAACAGTAATGAACACAGGCTGATCAAAAATTATTGTTAAAGACATTTTTTCAACCAAAACTGTGTAATGAAGTTACAAACACTCAGGCTTTCGAGAAGCACCAATGCATATACAGACGTCTTTACCTTGAGATGTTAAATCAGCTAATCTTTCATAATGAATACTCTGCAGTCTGCACCATAATGTATTTGTGCAATATAGAATCATGAAACCCACAAAGTAACTAGTTCCTTAGTTGTACAAGATGGACTAAGAAAGTCTACTGAAAAGCTGGAAAATCAACTCAAATTTACTTTGTATATTAAAATGATTTGTTGATAAATTTCCCTATCAACAAAAAACATGCACAGATTTTCAGAAAATAATAGCAATTAAGTTGCTTTAAAGCTTACAAAGTGGTATAAAGTTTACACTATACATTATATAGCAATTATAAACCATTTCATACAAATACAGTAACTGCTTCAATTACTAAGGTAAAGGTAGGACATTAAGCAATATTTTTAACCCACTTAAGGCTAGAAAACATCTAGATAGTTTGCATACATATTTCAATAAAGCCACTCAAAATTCACCTTCTCTGAAGTTTGAAGAATTCAAACATACATCTTAATTAATATATAGTTGACTCTTCTTGGAAAATGGCAACAACTCATTATCAGGTAAACTACGTTAACTACCAGAAGGAAAAATACTTCTTTACTTATTGACACTCTAAAGAAACAAATGACCACTTTGAAAGTAGATACCATACAAGACCCAAACATCAGCCAAATCATCAATCCTGTTTCAACCAGGTTGACAGGTCTTCAGTTGATAGCTATGAACAAATGCTTCATAATCCAACCACGTAAACCAACCTATTGCACATAAGTCTTTTTAGGAGACATGCAGACTGAATGCTTTTAGCCAGTTGGATAGGATTATCAGTTTAGCTGACTGCAAAACATCTAATGACTTTCTGCCACTACTGAACAGTTGATAAAGTCATTTTTGCAGAATGAGACCCAAGTTCCTCAAAACTCCAACTCACAATACTCTCATAAACAGTTTGATATGTGTGCAGCTAAAAAGGTAGCATTTGCATAAGAAGCAACTGCATGCTAGAAATGTCATTGTAGCTTTATGAAATGGTCAACAAGGCTGATGGCAGAAAAAGAAACAATGGAAAATTATTGCAGATTAGAACTGAACTGTTCTGTCAGGAACTGAGATTAGAAAAATGTTTTAGCACTCCTCTTCCAAAAGTCACTTCATTGTTCCCAGTCTTGGTGACAACACTTTAAGAAGGATGCTGATAAACTGGGAGGATGCTGATAAACCCCTGTCATGTTCATCTGCCCCCACAATACCACCCCCAACCCACACCCCAAAAGAAGCCACAACACATCAGAGTAATATGAGGTATGAAAAAGAGGTCAAAGGATTTCAGATTATCCAGACTACTGTTTCTCAGACTTTCTGAAAGGACAAACTTTTTGTTTTGAAGCCACATTTGCTTAATGTAGCTTAAATTACCAAGAACTTAAGGAAGGATAAAATTACATGTTGAAATGGTAAATTCCATAGATTTGTATGCTTTTATATATATACACATATGTACGTATACGTGCATATATATCTATTTTTCTGCATTGGTTTATTCCTTTCATGACCTGTTTCATTACACTCCTTACTAAAGCACTGTGATCCTATTTAAGCATCCCTGTGAGCCGCAACAGTGTCAGAACTGAGCACAGGAAAATGCCAATGCTACTTATCACAGAAAATTCATTAGATAAGGATCCATTACTGCTTGTATGCAATAAGGGTTGATGGTACTAGTAGGCTGTCAGCTACAGCTAAAAAAAGGCAGGAATGGAAAGCAGCATTACTTTTACTTTTATTAAATCAAAAGAAATATAGTTACTGCTTCATGTGCCAAAAGATCACAATTTTTCTGAAAAGAAATCATAAGAAGGAATTTCCTGTCTCATAATTAGGAACCTTATTTTTGAAGTGAAGTAATCTCATGCCTACTTGAACTGAGACAGATCTCTAAACCAGACACATTTCAGCAACATGCCTATACAGATTTGCTGTATTGGTTTAATAATATTGATTCAAAATCTATATAATATATTTACCAGACAAATCAGCAATAGTACTGCTATCTCAGATAACCACTCCAGCTTGCACAAACAGCAGCCCAGTCTTCTTCCTCTTCCTTCTTCCTCTGCTTACCACTGGAGTTACTCATATTAACTAACTTTCCTACTTCACCACTAGCAATTTCCTTCTCTATTTTGTGATCGTCTGATTCTCAAAACCAATTTTTATTTTAAATATTCTTGTACTTTGAATATTACTGCTTCTATTTCAGATGTGGTGAACTCCTTGTACACTAGAAAGCTTGAAAAAACGTTCCTTTCAAAATTTTAAATTATACTATCAGCTAACAGAATCAAAGAAAATCCACCACTCAATTTTTTTTTTTTTTACAGAATCAAACTGTATGAATCTAAGAATCAACTCTATGCCTTTTAAACATATAATGCAATTGTTCTGCCTTCCCAAAGGATTTGAAAAGGTCATGAAGATACACACATATCAGCTCTTAAAACTCAGCACTGATGACTGACACCAGGCCTGAAAGAATATTTATTTTAGGTCTCTTAATGCAATAGTCAGACTTCAAAGTTTCATTTTTTAAAATTTTATTTTATACCCACATTGATCTCTTCACTGCCCTCCCCACCTTCCATTTTACAATGCTGTCTTTTACTCTGAGCTATCCAGGACATGAACGCATGAATAACATCATTCTGCCTGTACTCTACACATCACTAACAAGCCACAATTCTTTCTCTGTTGTTGGAAGTATGAAAAACCCACATTTCACACTCCAAATGTTACCTATACAACTGCAAGAAAGAGACAGTGCTTGGTACATTGAAAGCAGATTCTGCTATATGGCTGGGTAACAGTCCCTGTTTCAAATCTAGAATTGCATGATTATGTGTCCATATAAAGTCACAAGAAAGGTTTGTTTTTATTAAGCCATTTCACTATCATGTTATATTTATAATGTTATACTCATCTTTCAGACTAAATAACCATATATGTTGCAAGAAAAAGAACAAGTACTCCAGGCATTTTTTTGACGAAAAAAATTACAAAGCACCAGGTTCCCAAATCAATTCACATACAACACTTTGAAATGTAGCACAGATATTTAAAGAAACAGAAACTGCCTCCAATGTTACTGAGAGCAAAAAATCCTTCCCAAACACACAAATATTTGGAAGTAACACAGCAATCAAAAAAGCAGAACAAGGGGAAAAGGAAGGATGAAAAAAATAGAGAATGAATGAAGCTAGGATTCTCCATTTGGATTTCAAGAAAATTTCATCATCAACAAAAGATGGAAAAAAAACCCAAAACAACAAAACAATAAGGCTAAGGAAACACCCAGCATGTTTTTCCAACTTGACACAAGATGTAAAACTGTCTATTTTGTTCTCCCCTCACTTCTCCATATTTTACTTATAAAAAACTCCCGTTACTCATTGTTCAAATGTGAACATATCTCATCCACCTAAAAAAGAGTTAAGTTCTGAGTTACCAGAAATAAAGGGTTCAAACCCAGAACTTAACTTTGGTGGATGAAATAATAATTTTCCTAGTTTACCAGAAATGTCCCCTTCTGGACCCACTGAACTCAAAGGTGTATTTTTAGGGCTCCTTACGTTTGATTTTTATCTCTTAGTTAACAAGTATGGATCAAAGGCTATTAATTTTGCAGGAAAATTTAAGGAAAAGACGTTATTGCAGAGGTAAGAACTCTTCCTAAGAAAAACCCTGAACTAAATAACCGAGGGGTTCTTGTTCGGTTGTTTTTCTATTTTTACAATGTGGACATTCATAATGTGTAATGAAATATTGTGAATATAAATAAAAGCCAGTCACATATACACACAAATTACTATGTGCTGTACATCCAGAAAAAAAGTGGAATGATCTGAAAGCAGCAGAAACGCAAGGAGGCCAAGCATATCACCGTGAGGGCAAAAAGAATGGTGTGACACACCTCACTGCAGCATTTCTGGAAGCATCTCTCTTCCCCTTTCACTTCCCGTGACACTATCAGCAGAAACTCTGACTGCTGAGCCCGGCCACAGCTGTACTGGGAACCTATACTGACAAGCTGAAATAACCAATCAAAGCAAAACACAAAAAGAAACCTTTGTAAAGCTGAAGTACATACCATTATCCAAATTGTACAAGTAACAGATGAGCTCAGACCTTCAGGTAACACTTACTCGCCACTAGAACAGGTTTCTATCAAGCTACAACTTTCATTTCAACGTAAAATTTACTGAGGCAGTTGCAAAGCCCTTTTTAATTTAAATGGAAGTTAAGAATTACTGATAAGAAGACAGAAAACTCCCCATATAACTGTGTAGTAGCCAACTACTCTGCAAAACAAAGTCTGGTGCGTTATAAAAGTAACCATTATTTTCCTATCATACATTGACAAGTGGAGAAGGCAGCATGGATATAAGACTGGAAGGTGTTATGTAAACCAATATATAAAGCCTGTATATTAAAGAGCTTCATCTTGTTCCAACTACTGATAAAATACAGCTAAGGAAACATAACAATTCAACAAGAGGAAAAATCTTTGAGTGGTCTAGATTAGTTTCAGAAGGAATAAGTTACAGAAGATCCAAGAAAATAACTGGAATGTAAAACAATTGTCTTGTTCCCACAAAAATCACCACCAAGAACACTGGCCAAACATCTAATAATTTAAAGTTCAACCTCAGCTAAATATCTCTTATTACAAAACAAATTTTACCTTACTAACACATGGCAATTCCTAGCCCATTTAAATTAAAGCACAGCTTGTCAGGGCACTTTAGAGAGATTAGGACTTTAATTTATATGGGAAGAATTAGACAACAATTGCCTATTCTGAGTAAACTGGAGATTACAACAGATGAGAAAGCCCCTGAACAGTAACTTTATTTATATCCTGCTTTGTGTGTGAGTAATTTTGAAGACAGCAGTTAAACACCATCCTCCTCATACAGTGAACATACTTATGACTGCATTATGGTGCCAGACTCAGGTTACATTAATCACTAAAATTTACATGATCAACACCAGCGCTGTCTAAAGCATTTCTATTTAGCCACTTTGTATAGCCCACAATTTTTTATACTGTTGTATTGCCAAAATACCGTTTTTTTTCTGATTGTCTGAAGAGGCAACAATTAAAGCTAAAAGTCCTCTACAAAACAACTCACAAAAGAGGGGCAGCATAATCCTTAGTAATAGATTTTGGACTGGGACTAATATATGATTGTACTGTTCTAGCAGAGCTTTCAAGTGTGTTCTTTGGAAAAGGGCATCAATACGTCTGCATTAGTGCATCAACAGTTCAGCACATTCCACTCCTATTTAACAATCATAGACAATCATATTTAACGATAAAATTTTGAAATGCTAAGTGTAAAATAGCATTTTTTTCAAAACCAATCACTTGAGCATGTTATATGTGGCTCAGAGCACAAGGACTCCTAATCTGTAAAAATATCACTCCTCTGAAAAAGCTGAAAAGCTGATGAGTCCCTCTTTTTTCACATACAGAGCATGGTGGGCACTGCCCCAGACACTGCTTCTGAAAGAAAGCATGTTGCTGAGCAGCATGGGCTTAGAAAAAATTACAGAAATGCTACAGTGTTTGAAGGTATTAACAATAAAACTGTTTATGCACAATATTCTAATCCTGCTTCAAGTGAGTACAAAGGAGGGAATGGGCTAGTGTGAGGTAATGAGATACTAAGTATTATGAGATCAAACAGTTATTGTGTTTATCTTCTTCAAACTATGTGTCTAAAAATATGCAACATGGGAGAGGGAGGAAGTAGGGAGACAGCTGGATGAAACAAGGATGTAATGTCCAAAAGAACCAATGGATTCTTCCAGTTCTAAAAGAGATTATAATAGGTCTTTCAGCAGTTGCACTATCAAAGCAGTATTACTCCCAAATACAATATCCCCAAAGGATTTAGGATAGGTAAAAGATATGGTGTCATTTAATCTGCTAAGAAGTAAAGAAGCCCTATTTGTAATGAAAGCTAGTTTCTCCTGACAAAGAGTGTTGAAAAACCTTTTTCCGTGCACTAGCCAAAAAACAGTCGTGTATTAAGTGAGAGTTTTTTTCAGGGACTTAAATAACATTTGGCATGGCAAACTGACTTGCCATGCCAAATGGTAATACTTGAAGCAGAGTACTGAAGCATAAAAAGCCTGCTCTGTACTTCTGTGCTTAGTCTATTTGCTCATGGCTGTCTCCACCTTACTAGCACCTTACATATTTTGTCAAATATAAACAAAATGTTCTCTTTCACCTTTGTGTCATAAACATTTTTTAAATGTTGCTTTGTTGTGTTGTTAGAGTGAGACTACACAGGGTAATGGGCTTGTGCTTATTTCCATTTCTCCTATTGTAAGCATCAGACACTGAAAAAGGTGCTAGCAGATGAACACTTGTGTTTCAGAGTTAACAGATTCATTGCTTCAATGCAGTTTAAATACTCTGATGGATTAGGAATGTGAAGGATAAAGCAGCTGTACAGTTCATTTCTTACTTACACAGATTATCAAAGATAACAGATAGATCTTGCGATTTTACAGTGTGTTCCTGAATGTACACACAAAGCTATTTTTATGCACTGCAAAGAACAAGAACATGCACATAGCTCACAGCTATCAAGCTTCACATCTACACAGGTAAAGTCCACCCTCCCTTGTGCATCAGGTTTTTTTTATCTGAAGAATCACTCTTTGGGCCTGGCAAACATTTATCTCCCAAGCTCATCTCTTTTACTCAGAGCTCTTCATATCCAACCTATCATTCACATAAACTTGTATTACTTAATTCTGGTTGATCCACCCTTCAACTGCTCATGTGTAGACACTGAAGAATTACATTTCAGATGTTGCAGATGTTTTTATAGAAAGTCAGCAAAATTTACCTCCTGGAAAGCTGATTTTTTTTTTTAATGATAAATGCAAACACAAATATTGCATTTTAACTTTGCTGTGTATTTTTATCCAAATTCTGAAAATTACTGAATAAAAAAAGATGCATGGAATTTAATTTATATTCCTCTTTCACAAAAGGTACTTCACACTCATTTCATAGAAGACTGTGTTAACTATATCCCATACGGATTTTTTACCTGTTCAAATTTCCAGCCATCGGACATTGTGGAAACCATTTGAGTGAGCTCCTCTTCCTGACACTGCAGCACTCTGTATACATGTTTGACTGGCACCTTCAAGAAGAAATATAAGATGCTCAACATGGCATGGAAATTCACTATGTTTGTGACTTGTCTGAAGCTTCCCTTACTCTCTAGAAATTGTAAGCAACACCACTTTGAACCCATCAAGAGCAACGAATAACTAGGACCACTTCAGCTGACACCATAGTAAATGCTATCAGAGCAACCTTGCGATCCAACAGCCTAGCTTCAAGAGAAATTTGTCAATAACAATATAAGTTTGTAATATCTCCATGAATACTCAGTTACCAGGGAAGTTACCAGTTACCTGAGTAGCAGAGTTAATAAACCAACTTTATCATATTCACTTTCATGGAGAACATGAACCGCTATGAGAAGAGGCAACCTTCTCAATCACAGAGCAATACAAATAAAGAAAGCAAATTTACTACAAAAACATATGACAGGAGCTAAACAGTATCTGTACATATGCTGCATAAACACACTGTATAAACAGCATTTATACCATAGTTAGGCAACCACATCATATTCAGAATATTTAAAAGTCAATGAGAAAGCTATGTTCTACAAAAGCTGTTCTCTAAAATAACTATTTCCAGAAATATTATGACAAATTCTACTATTACTGAACATTTTGGAACAATTACTTAGAATGTTTTCAGTTTTTGAAAACGATCTGTGAACTTTGTAAGCAGACTGGCAGGAGCCAGCAATTAAGAATATTAATCTTTGTGTACTAGTGGTTCCAGATCATCCAGCGATGGAGGCAACCATTCAGTATTTCACTAGGGAAATCAGGAGTTACATAAAAAAACAAATGGAATCCACTCACTACTTGTCATAGAACAAATAATCAAAAGCACATGAGAAAACAGCCTCACCTGAGAGATTCTGCTGTCTCTTTCTCTTATTTTGTCCTTTACCAGTTTTATTAGAGATGTGATATTGTAGAATTCAGCCTCTTCCAGTACACCTAGCATGAAAACATTTTTTGGGAAGACAGTGTAACTAAAGACTCCAGGCCAAAATCACCAACCAGTTCATAAGATTATCTTCTCAACAACTAGAGAAAATTATTTATTTTTCCCTACGATAAGGCAGTTCACCAACCTAACAATTCTGGCTTCTTTCAGGTATATGTAATTCAATGTTTGGCTCATTCTAAAAAATTGTCCTAAAAATATCCCAAAGAAAACTGATGCCATTTCACATATAAAATGAGACAAGAAACAAAAAAATGCTCACAGATACCGTTCCATAGCAGACTGATAAGACTACCATACCTCAGGCCCTGCCTCAGGCTGGAATGCAAAAGAGAAATTTAAATAATCCTACTGAAAAATCTCTGCAAGCTGCTAGCAAGCATAACATTTTTCTTCCTGTCATTTGCGATCTTAAGAGTCTGAAACAAAAACTTAAAGATATATACTGCTTCTACTCACATGTTCAAGGCCTACCTGTTCTCCACCCACAGTGCACGTGGAAATTATATTTCATACCATTTCCCCCTAGTATTGTTAAATTGTATCACTCTTTGATAAATTCCTTCAATATGCTACCAATACAGTTTTATTACTATATGTTTTAAAGCAGTCATCCTCCATTAGGGTAAAATTGATACAAACTGGGAATAAGGAGGGAGAAGCTGGGGGAAGAATTCAGTCTTTAAAACCATATTCCACACATCTGAACATGCCAGAATTTCACTTTCAGTTTGCTTTACATCTTCTAAAGCTTGCTTCCTAGGCAGCGCTCTTTTGCTTAAAGAGAACTAAACCCAAATATTTCACAGTTACACAGGAAAGATACAAGGTTACACAATAAAAGACATCTCCCCTCTTGTTTGAATACTTATGTTCCAACTGAAAATGCAGGCTGTGAAATCAGGAATTGTACTCAAAATGCTCAAATAACCCTATATACTATAACTGCATGATACCTATCAGTTCTGCTTGAAACAGATAGAAATGCTACACTGGTTAAGGTTTGCCATCTTGCTCTAAGTTAATTTTGGTGATTCAAAAGAAGTGAAAATAATAACCAAGTGGCAAGCAAATGAGATATTTAGAGACGTCTTACCTTCCTCAGCTAGGTCCTTGTTAATAACCAGTTTTCCGTGTCTGAGATAGTTCAGCACTGGCCCAAAGTAGGTTGGGTCTCTGTCTATTAAATAGGCACCTGTTTCATCCTAGATTAGAAAAACAAACACAAACCAAACAAACAACCCAAAACAAAGCAAGAGAACACCAAAGCCCAAACCAAACAAATCAAAAACCTCACAATTATTTGAACATCCAAGTGGGAACTGCAAGCTAATATTCATCTTGCAGTGAGCAGGTATTCAGATATAGCCAAATCCCTGAAAGCCGGATTTATTAAAGACAGTACAAGGAATTAAACAATATAACTGTCATGGTATCAGACTGATCAATCAAATAATCCAATACACAACTTTTTGTATCTGATCAATCCCCCTAACCCCTTATCAATGATTAACAACATTGTTAGCATGAAAGATCCAAGCAGTAAGTGAGAACACCAAAAGTTAAGGTTAAAAATAGCACTTAAAACCAGGTAATCTTGTTTGGGAGCCTGAAGAGTCAGAATAATGGCTACATTCTAGCAAGCTTCAAATACCAATTTTTCCTTTTTAAGCTTCTTTTTTTTTAATTAAAGGCAAACAAACCTATTTTTTTTAACCTCAACACTTTGCTCTAAAAACATTTGCCTTTGTCTTTGCTCACATGTACAAATACTCACTGATAACTGCTGTGTACCAAGCAAGGGTTGTACATGCATCTTCTAAAAAAAAAAAAGTACACTGAAGATGCAATTCCTACCTATCTCATGCAGACAAGTGAAGTAATAGATGGCTAGATGAATACTTGAAAACCAATGCTCATTTTACCAAACAGACCACAGCGTTTTGTGAATTGCAAAACAGTTCAAGAAATTTATCTGCAGAGCTGATATTCTTGACAAAGAGATAAAGAAGCAAAATTGGTAATTCCTATGTTATTTAGAATCTATGTGTGAACTCCTGCAATCAAGATAGTACTGACATACTTTGTGCTGGCCGGAGATCTAAGGAAGATTCATAGAAAGATTTCTAACTGATCCACTGCTCTTATCTACTATCAAGTGGATTACTGACTGTATGAATCCATTAGTACATAAGGTTTTGGTGCAATGGATATCCTACAGATATATACTAGAGAGATGTGTCAGCACCCCAAATACTTTTTAACTTATTCTTTAGTATTCTAGTAGTTTACAGGAGATACTCAAAAAATCATCACTACCAAGAATGTGATCAAACCTTGAAAAATAATAAAAAAGAAAGCACACAAAAGTCCTACAATTTTTGCTGTAATAGATTTTTTTAAAAACATTAGAAAATATCAGCAGTTAAAGAACTCTGGCTAAATTCTAAGTGTGAAACCCAAATTCTGTCAACAGGATTCACTTAAGCATCTAAATTCCATGCAAAAGTTGCTTGCTCAGATTACAGACATAGAAAATATGCATTAACATTAAGAGGAGGATGTGTGTCTTGAACATTGACCTGACAGCTCAGATATGCTACACACCAGCACCAGGGAGTCAAGAGCCGAGAGATAAACCGATCAGTAAAGAATATTGTAAGCATATGCAAATAACGCATATAGTGAGTGACGAAGAAAAATTTACTTCCTCAGCATCTTCCTGTAGAAAATGCCTTATCACTCCTCCTTTTGAGTGAGCTGCCTCAATATTCTTCAGTGTATGCTAAGCACTTCACGTTGAAATCACTAAGAAAGGCCGATTACACTAGATCTTTAAGGATATTTATGTAAACATAAATCCAGTACAAGCTGACACAGAAGCGTAGTCATCTGCTCTACTTAGAACTCTAAAAATACAGATTGTAAGTATTTCAGAATATTATCAGAGCTGTTTTCATCCACACGTACATGAAAACACACTGTATTATCACATGTAATTAGCTTTTGGACACTTTTTAATAAAAACTGTTTTATTGTAAGATAAAATAATAAATTGCAAACATGATCCAATGTGAACTGGACAATTTAAAGAGGTAGCTAGTTTGCATGCACATAACTAGCTTTAGGCTTGCTAGCTGAAGTATTAGTAGACTTTGATGTCTCATCTATGCAATTTCCTCTGCTTACTAGTAAGCTGTTTTTTCTACGAGCTTTGAGAAAGTTAGCATCTTCACTGACACAACTAGTGTAGGTATTTTGAAGCCATTTCCTAAACTTCAGGTGAATACCACAAATGTCAGACAAACTTATATTCTAATAAGGTTTCAAAGTTCTCTCCCTTTCAGATGTACATTATAGAAATAGGTGTTACTGTTTACCATAACAGCAGCAGAAATTCAAGTTTCCTCTCTATTCAGTATAGTCATATCACCCCACACTTCGAGGTGTTTCCTGCAAATGTTGACGTTCTTCATAAGAAAATTCAAAACAAATGCATGTTGTCTTTGTGCATCCAGCCCTAAACTGCTAGTTAATCACAGGACTGTTTGTATCTCTACTCAGTTCTACTTCTGCATTACATTCTTCTCCGAGAGCTTTTTTCTTCATTGTCTGTAAGTTCTAGGCCTTTTTCATGCATATTTACAAGGACACCATTTACAAGACAGCATTGCCTACATACAGAGAAGACTACATTTGTTTATTACCACTCTCCCACAGTAATGTTTAGTTCAAGTTACAAACATCATGGAATTTTAGAGGAAACCTAGTAACTTGCTCTTAAATTTTCAAACACCTGGTTCAGCATACCAATGAAAAGTCAGTGTAGCTCACAACTACATTCCTTTGAAAAACACTGACCAAAGCAATTAAGTGATCATGTATTCCCGTTACAAATGTTTTCACTTCGATCTTTATAGAGGCTGAGGCTTGAAGGAATCATAATGAACACTTACCTTGATCTTAGTTTAAAAAACATAAAAAACTTAATTTAGTTACAACGTTTAGAAAGTAGCAGTGAAACCTAACCATTCCAATAAATAATTACTGTCACTGGTAATATTATGTACTTTCTACCAAGGACATCTATAGTTTGACACTTTGCTAGCTGTACTTCACAACACCTTTACTAGACTGAACAGGCTTCACTATTAGATTTCTTGTCTCCATGTATGTACCTCTGGAAGTCACTCCTTAAACTCCTTGCCATAAAAAAGTTTTGTTCTTTAAAACTTTACATTAAATCATATTTCACCTTGAGACTAGTCACTACCCTGCTATGACCTTGAATTGTGGATGCTAGAATCCCGTACAGGATTCCAGAAGGACTCAAAAGGTGGACCAAATACATACATCTCTCTAATCCCATTTAATAATCTCCCCAAGAATTGCATTAAAACACTAGCTGAAATGTCATAAATTTATTTCCAATTAATTATCTTCATTGGGATCAGCACTGGATCTGGATACAAGACGGTGTATGGTATGGCAGGTGATGGTATGACTCAATACCATCAAGCTCTTGGCTCAAGGCTCTAACATGAATATTTTAGTTTTACATAATTTTTTAATTTTACATCATTTACATATTCTGAGTTCTTATAAAGGCAGCAATATGCAGAGAAACACAGTAGTACTTGGTACTAAACTTGGATTTATATATAATTGTCATCCCTATCATCTGTGCTTTTTAAATACTGAACTAGTGAATTTTTCACAAACTGCGTGGCCTAAAAACTTTGAGTGCCTGCAAACCAGCGGTACTTATCAAAACTATACCAGTAAAACAACCCATCTGACAAGTCAGAAATCTCATGGACAAATGAAATGCATCTGTTACTTCCTAGAATAATGACTAGAATTTAGATATTTCTTAATGCTGACAGTCAAAGTTGTGCTAGCAGGAAGACTTGGATTTTTCTAAACCACTCAGTGCGTGCATGCTTCCTTCTTTGACAGATTCTATGCCAACTTTAGAAAGGCATTACAATACAAGCATGAATACTACTGCCAAAACCTTATTATGAAAGTTTGACAATCTCCTTCTTAGAGGAAAGTTAAAAGAATGCTAGAACAGTTTGCAAACAAAAAACTGGTATATAGCTAAAATAGGAAGACGCTGAAACAAGGAAATAGATGGAAATTATTAACAGTAATGCAGTAAAAGCATTACATTAAACAATGATGACAAGGTGAGCAAAGCTCTGCTTGTCTATTTTTACGTATCCATCTCTAAACCAAGATTTAAATACCATGGAAAACAAATGCTATTCTGAACAGTAAATATAACCACTACAGCTCATTTTTTGCTGAAATCTGAAATGATTCTCCAACAGTTTTAAAGCTGTGAGTGACATTGTGAAACATCCTAAATTCAGAGGGTCAATTTCACTATCCTAATCCATTCAACACTAGTTTGGCCACAGGGTGTGCCAAAGGTTAATCTTTCTCCCATTACAAGTGGAAACATACCAGACAGCAAAGAGACAGGCTGCCCTGTCCTACTCAACATTAGTACCTGAAGGGAGTTTAAAGGCCAACATGCTACCTTTCAGTTATTTAAAGTAGGAAGCATTAAGGAAATCATAGAATCACAGAATATCCTGAGTTGGAAGAGACCCACAAGGATGAAGTGTAACTCATTGCCCTGCACAACACAGCCCCAACACTCCTACCGTGTGCCTGAGCTTTGTCAACCTCATGGCTTGGGGCCATGAACAGTCCCTGGGAAGCCTGTTCCTGTGTTCAACCAACTTCTTTGAAAAGAAACTTTTCCTTATATCCAACAAAACCTTCCCTGACACAGCTCCATGCCTTTCCCTTGGATCCTGTCAGTGGTCACACAGAACAGAGATCGATATTATCCCTCAAGAGGAACATGCAGACAGTGATGAGCCTTCCCTCGGCCTCCTCTTCTCCGGCTGAAGAAGCCAAGTGACCTCAGCTATTTCTCCTATGGCTTCCCCTTCAGAAATTTTGCATTCCTCCTTCAGATGCTCTCTAAGAGCCTTAGACCCTTCTGCTATTGTGGCGCCCAAAACTGGCTACAGGACTCAAAGTGAGGCCACACCCCAAAACAGAGGAGAATGGGACAATCTCCTCCTTTGCCCAGCTGGCAATGCTGGACAACAGTGCAGGACACAGTCGGCCCTCCTATTTGCCAGAGCATACGGCAGTGATTTATCTTTTAATTAGGAAACCTTAGAGGAATGCTTTCCTACTCTCTCCCAAACAAAGCTGACCTATCAGCAAGCCACCTACATTTTTAAATTTAGTTTTATAGGTAAATTTAAGTCTGCATAAAAATCACAACCAAAACCAAAGACAACTACAAAACAATTCCCCCACCACCACATTTCAACTTTTTTTACTTTTAACTCAGGAACATTACATTCCCTATCTTAACTGTTCAATTATCCTTTCTGGAAGTTACACCTGAAAAAATTATGAAATCTACTAACCTCACTGAAAAGAAAAAAAATATCCAAAATTTAGATATAATAAACAACTCCTTATTTTCAACCTGTTGGTTATAAGGGTATAAGTTGTTCCTTTCTTTTCCCTGTGGAAAATGCTTTTTTGTCCGTGATGCTTCAAAATTTATTTCAGAGCCAGCACTATATACTTTACATCCATTACTACATACCACACCACAAATAAAATCTTAATAATTTTCTTTCCCTACTAAAAATGACTCAGAGTGAATACCAAAATATTCACCCACTACTTGCAATCTATGCAGAATATGCAACTCTATGTAACACAGAGAATTCTTTTCCTCTAAGAATTGCTGAAAAGACAGAATGCTACGTCTAAGTGAGAGATTATTATCAAAAGTACTTTGCTCTGGTTCTTGTTATTGAACAAGAGAATAATGACAATGCAGAAATAACACAGTGTCAATGCATACAGATATTTCATAAAAACGCTAAAACTAAACCCCGTCAAACAACATAAAAACATGACACAAACGTACAGACGATACTGTGCTGTCTGCTCTATTTACGAGCAGTTTTGTTATCCACAAACCCAACTGCTTCGCACGACATACTCATTAAGCAACACTCTTCAGGAAGACTCCCTCCACGACAGCAGAGTCGTTCCTGCCGCCCCTCACCGCAGCGCCGAGCCGCGCGTTCCCTTCACGCCGGCGGCCGCCTAGGCAGGCGTCACAGCGGGAGCGGGCACCAGCCGCAGCGCACCCTCAGCGCGGCAGGCGGGGAGCGGGCCCGGAGCGGGGAGCGGGCGCGGCGCCGGGGGGAGCGAACGAGCCCGAAGCGGGGTGCGGGCGCAGCGGGGCCCGCGCTCACCTTGTCCGAGTCCAGGTCGGGGTCGGCCTGGCAGAGGCGGAAGAGGAAGGACTTAGGGTCCCTGCAGAGCGTCTGTCGAGTGGTCAAGAAGCAGGTGCCCCCCACGTTGAGCCTGACCCACTTGCCGGGCCCCGCGCCAGGCAGCGGCGCCGAGCTACACCGACGGCACGGCCCGCCCGCGCCGAGGCCGCCAGCCGGGGGCACCGGGAACTCACAGTGGTTCTCCGCCGCCATCCTCGCCACCGCCGGAAGGGGCCGCCCCGGCTGCCTGGCCCCCGGCGCACCGCCCACCGGAAGCGTCGGCTGGAACAGGGCCCTGCCCCTTCTCGCCCGCGGCCCCAGCGGCTCCGGCTTGGGGCCCCGGGAGCAGCGCCCACGTCGGCGACAGGGCCGCTGCCGGGCCAGAGGCCGCGGGCCTGTCTGTACCCCATGCCCCCCGCCCCACGGCGGAAGGAAGAGGCGGAGGCCGCGCAGAACCCTACATGCCTTTATTACAGACTACCAAGCATAAGTGAAATCCGTCATCCAGTCACTAACTACACATCTACAGCACAGAGATCTGTCGAGAGGAGAATAAACAGTCATTAAATTATGAGATATGATTAAATCATCGACCAATAGAAAATTTATATAATAAAGCCAGAAAAAAGGTGTAAAATATAGTTTACAATAATTATTCACATTCAAGGCTGTACATCAATACATACAACACCATGGCCCCGAACATGAATCAATCCAAATAATTCATATATTAGAATTTAAATAACACAGACTGAACTAGAGGCCAACAAGAGCCAGCAAATAACCTTAGAAGAATAAAAATACAAAAGTGTGTATCACATCATTGCATTATTTGCTTCTGTTTTCACGAGTTCTTGAAGGAGGGGAGATTGTTTTGTGGTTTGTTGAGGGGGGGTCAGGGGTTTTGTTTCTTTGGGGTGAGTTTTTTCTTTTTTTCTGTACATCACAGTTACAGCTACAAACCAGGTAGAGCATATTACACATGTAACTGACTGCCACCAACCTGAAAACAGCATACAACTATCAAAAATTATGGTTCTTGGTTCCTAATTTTTCTCTTTTGTCAGATAGAGTAGTTTTCAGTTCTGCTACCATTGTGAACATTCACCACATCAAGTCAGTTAATACATGGCCATAGGAAGCTTTGTCAAATGGCAATCATCTACATTCATGGCCCAGCTGACAGACAGATTTCTCTCTTGACCAGGGAAAGGACTTGAGGAAATGGTATGAAGCTGAGTCACAGGAGCTTTAAGTTAGGTGTCAGGAAAAGGCTTTTCACTCAGAGGGTGGCCGAACACTGGAACAGGCTCCCCAGGAAGTGGTCACACTATCAAGCCTACCTGAGTTCAAGAAGGTGTCTGGCACATGGTAGGATTGCTGGGGAGTCCTGTGCAGCGCCAAGAGTTGGACTTGATGACCTTGATGGGTCCTTTCCAACTCAGTATATTCTCTTTACTCTAACACCAGGCTATTGGGTGCTTAAGAACCTCTCCAACTGTTTGTTGCATAATGGTAATTTCTTCTATGAAAGAGGAAACACTCTGAAATTATCAGTCATAAATGAAAACATGCCATTTTGGATTACAGAACTACTTGTCTGTAAGCTCACTTGATCACCTGATAGACAATCTGCATCACGAGGCTTTGCAGGAGCATTTCCATTTGATTCATAAAATATTTCCATGAAGCATTACAGGCATTCAGCAAAATTTCAGATATAAATACTACATCTATTTGTGCAATTTACTAGTAGAAAAAATTATCAGAATCCATCCAGAGGCCACATCTTTAGGCAACTATTAATACACAAGTTTTGTCCTCAGCAAGATGTTGAAATCAAGTGTTTTATCCACAGGCCAAATGAAGTAATTGTCCTGACTTTACTAAATCATTCAGAAAAAAAGGTACATGTGGGAAATTCCCATAATTTTTCAAAGTTCCCAGCACAGAAAATAATTGTATCTAGCACATTAAATTAAGCATCTTGAACTATGAAAGCTGATTAGAATAATCACATCTTTGTTTCAATCCACAATTCTTTTCAGACTTATATATAGCAGATACTTCACAATTAAATCACATCAGAAGGAGACAAGTAGAGCACAGTACTGATAATTTGATCTTTTCAGCACCTAAGTGCCTAGCAAACAGAATTGTAATAGGCAGTATCAGTCTGCTAACAATGCCTCAACATCACATCTGAAGTAACTTTTCTTAATACAAAACCTTTACAAAACTGGACTTTAAGGCAAATGGTAACAAACTAATTTCTCAGTTTATTAAAGTAGTCCTAAATTTCTTGTGACTGGGCAGTAGTACTTCATCCTTTTGTTAAGCTCCACACCACAGAAAAAGATGGAATAAATACCTTTCTGAAGTTTAAATACCAAGCAAACCAAAATTACAACACTATTGGCCAGATTCTTCATAAATTATCAACAACTGTTGAAAGTTCAAGAGATGGAATGAATCAACAGATTGGGTTTTCAGTAGGTCTGCAGTAAGGAAAAATCTTAAGGAGAGTCTTCAAGTACCTAATTTTTTTTTCTCCTTTGAACACCTTGGATTAAAAGCAGAAAAATCACCTGGCCTATGTGCAGCTCTGAAGAACCTCCTTTGCACATTTCATTCCATGAACTCCCATGAACCACAGGAGTGATCTTCAGGACAAAGACCTGATTCTACCCCACATCAGGTATAAGCATTTAAAATGGGTACCAGCCCTTCATAGTATGCAGCACCTTTCAACACACATTTAAGTGGACAAACTGGCAAAACATACTTAAATCCACAATTGCTTTGTGATGCCTCACTCTATACTCTTGCCACCTTTCAAACCCACAGATTCTACAGATAGTCCAAGAAATAGAAATACCTTTCCCAGGACAGTTCTAGTTCCTTCCCAAAAAAGCAGTAGCTAAGTAAGACTGGATTAGGAATACTGAAGCTCTAAGTGGAGTGATGCCTGTAAGAGATGCTTACAGTTTTCCAATAACAGCATTGTCAAATAAAAAATTAAAAAAGGACTTCTAGAATGCAGACATCAGCCTTCCAGATACCTTCTTGACAGCTTACTGCTACCAAGATCTACAAGGCTGGCTGAAAGCTTTTGCTGGGCATGATGAAAGCCTACTGAGAGAAGATTTTCAAGGTGTGAAAAAACACAATTAATTTGCTATGTAAAATGACTAAAAATCTAAATGTTATAGAAAACACGTTAAAGCACACCTAGATCTCTACCTAGTTAACAAGCCAATGGTGGTCATTTTGCCAGACATTTTTATGTGAGGCCAAGTTTTATCACACTGAACAGCAGTGGCACTGTGAATCTCCATCACTGCCAAACTCCTGTATGAAGCTGGGAATATGTCTGTTCAGATCTCAATATCAGAGAGTAAATCCAGAAGTGGTAGGGTTGTCTCCAGCGGACACAATACATGGCCGGAATTTGACAGCTAGAGAACAAATGGATAGCACTGCAACAGATTTAAAATACATGTCATCTTGGTTAGAACAGCACATATAGCTTACTACAAACACAGATCAAAGGTACAGTGTGCTATTCAAATTTGAGCAACAAGGAGTATACTTTGTATGTGATGGGATTTCTCACGAGGCAAAGGGGAACACTTTTCTGTCTTCCTCGGCCATTTACAGGGGCCCTTCTGCCCTTTAACACCAGACACAGTAAGCCAGGGATTTGCTTCTCTTAGGTTTCCGTATGTGGTGGGCTGCAGACGACTACAGGAATTCAGTTACTCCAAGAGAAAAGGCAACTGCACTGTCTCTTCTAAAGACTGGAAAAGATGAACTGCCATCAAGTTCAACCACATAATGCAGTTTTTAAGAGATCAATAATAAATCTCCTTCACCCTGTACAAGAAAATATTCAACATTCACATAATTTCGGAGAAAGCTGATAAGCCATTGTTCTTAAAATACTGCTTCTAGAGGACAGTAGCCTATGAGTTTTTTCAACATTGTAGAGAAACCTTTCTTTGGAGGAAGGAAAAGCACATCATAGTATGACAATTCAAAATACAAAGTAATGGTATATGTAGAGTGAATAAATAGGTGTGATGATTATACTGCTTTTAAAACAAGGAAGGAATGCCTTTGTCCAGACCTAGGTCATTCTCCTCTGCAAGATTTAGGAACACAAGGATATAGAAAATAGCACTGGGGAAGTTTTTTTTTAGCACATAGGAAGTTGTGTTTTTGCAACATGACAAGAAATGTTTGACCACAAAAAACAGCCATAATTTGAAGAGGATAAAGGAGATCAATATGAAAAACATTTTCATTTTATAGATATGCTTTAAGTACCATATATTTTCCCCTTTGTATCAATATTTGCCTTTGATTTTTCTCACCATATTACTTTATTATCTGTATTTAAATTCCTTACATTTTTTCCAGAGTTCCTGAATGTTTGGCCAAGGACCAAAAATAAAATTGACATCTCATTACACAATGAGACAAAAAAAAAAAAAAAAAAAAAGCCAAGTAATCAATTGTACAACATTTTCACACTTCCTTCTCTACCCAAGAAAATAGGTTGGCCCCACTAAAATGCACAACACACACACCCTGGAAAGAAAGCTTCCAGCCCTCATCTGCTGAAAAGGTGAAAAACTATCTACTATTTCAATAGTAGCCTTTTCTCCCCCATACTAACTAGTTTCTCTTTTAGTTAGCATTAGTTAAAAGCATGCTGGTAAGTTTATTGTCCCTTGATTAAACACACATATGACCTATATTAAAATTTAAACTTAATGTTTAAAATGCTTCAGAAGCCAATATTTCAATTTTAGAAATTTCAGTGCTGTGTTCAGCATTTTACTCTCTCAAAAGCTTTATCAGTGGAGCCTGTCTGCCAGACAAATACATCTGATTCATTCACATGATTACTATAGTACCACACAAATCCTGCAACCAGAACGATGTTAGGAATTACACAAGGGTGCAACCAACCTGGCTATAAATGCCATATACCAATAAGCTGGGGGACTGTGAGGAAAGGAAGAGGAAACAAAGAGGTGGTACTTAGGAGAGGCATATAAAAGCTCCCTGATGAAACACAGTTTAATGATAATCTGAGAGTCACAGAAAACTCCAGCCCAATAAAATGCAAGGCTGGTACATGATTCAGCGTGTGTGCGTGTGGGTTGGTTTTAACTCATCTTAAGTGAAGCTGGTAATGCAAGGTCTATCCACTAGTCTGCAGCAAGAACAGAACTGAAGTGCACAAAAGCAAGATCTTCACAGCAATGATATGCATGTGGAAGCCTCAACAGAAGCACAAAGAGCGA